CTCCAAACATAGAAAAGTCCTGCTTTTGCCAATTCCTATTCCAATGACCACTCCAACACCACTGGGCTCTTGCCCATCTATTCAACCCGGGAGTAGATAGACTTGCTGGGGGAGTAAGGCTGCTCCAGCTTATAAATGGACAGCCTAGAAATTCTTTTTAAAAAAAGCGAGAGAGATTCTAATTGGGGCAGCAACCCCTCTTCTAGAAATGCATCATGTAGATATCTAAAGATATCTAAAGATAAATTCATATGTATGAAGAAAGTTACATCAGCTTTGGGGAGCCAAAGACAGAAAATAACCTATGTTTATCATCAACAGAGAGCTTGCTGAATAAACTACACTCAAGATGGGACAAAATATGGCCCCAAATGACCCAGACACGTACACGCATGTGCCAGAATGGAACCATTTCTAAGACAGTAAGTAAGTCAAAGCAAGAAAGATCAACTTTCCCCATCCTGGCTCTTCATTACAGAGCCTGGTGTTATACAGAGGCAGCTATGGGCCTAGAATCACTTTCAAGGATACAGTATCATCTGAGCAGGTGGAGAAAAAAATGCTCTTATTTCAGGTCACTTTTCTGTTCATTTAACACCATAACCCAAGGACAAAACCTGTGAAAAACTCCCAAATTCCAACAGGCTTGTTCCCCTCTTCATAGCCTCATTGGATTCAGGGACAGTTCCCAGCTCCCTCAGAACCCAGGGGGACAAGAGGCAGCTTCCTTTTACATCCCTGATGGTTCTGAGTTCTGAGAAGCAAAATTCAATTTGATAACCCAGCATCTGGCAGTGAATCCAATCTCAAGGTCTCTTTCCAAATAGCATCTACAGGGGGTGCTGACAAAGGTCTCTCTCCTCTGAGGGTCTGCTGCTGTTCAGATCCCTCATCTGCTATAGCTTGCTGAATCAGGGTGGCAATCGTCAGACGGAAGGGCTGACTGTATTGGAGTTTCTGAAATTTGATTAAGTTCACTCTCTAGTCAAACCTGGACAGAAAAAAGGCAAAGGGAAGCTGCCCTTCTTCAGGTGCTGACTCAGACAAAAGCAGCACACCTGCCCCAAAGCTCAACAGGGTTCCATAGGACTTTGCAATTGATACTCCCCTTGGGGGTAAGCTCAGGGCTTACTGAATGGAGCTGCAGATTCCACTGGCTATTATTTTCTCCCTGAGCCACCAGATCACTGCACTATCATTCACTGTCACCCAAAATCATCACTTCCAAATACTCCTAAAGACCAGTGGATTTCCCCTCAAGCATTTCTGATCTCTGCCCTCCTCCCCATCCCCATCTTCTCTGATCCAAGCCCCCATTAGCCTTTGCTCTGATAACTACCAACAGCCTCCAGCCTTCAACTAATTCCTAAATTTTTTTTGGTGGTGGGTATGGGGATTGAACCCAGGGTGCTTAAAACACTGAGCCACATACCCAGCCCTTTTTTATATTTTACTTAGAGACAGGGTCTCACTGAGTTGCTAAGTACCTGGCTAATCTGCTGAGGCTGATTTTGAACTTGAGATCCTCCTGCCTCAGCCTGCCAAGTTTCTGGGATTACAGGTGTGAGCCACCTTGCCCAGCTCCAACTGGGACTCCAGTCCATCCTCATCCCACAGCCAGAGGGCTCTTTGGAAGACACAGGTCTAATACTGTATTTCCTCCACTTCAGACATCCATCACTAACAGAATACAAAGTTCAAGCATCTTAGCATGGTGCCTGCTTACCTCTACAGCTTGCCTGTAGCTGTGCTGGAACCCCTGTGGCTCCTAAAATACCACACAGTTGCACCTGTGCCACACTGCTCCCCCTCTGAGTGCTTCATGGACTCCCAGAAAATTCTATTTACTCCTCAAGATCCAGTTCAAGTTCTAAGTACTCTCTGAAGTTTTCAATCTCTTCATCCATTTACTTAGTTCACGCTACATGCTGCACAGACTTCTAGCAGATTCACCAAGCTCTGTGCAAATGTCTATGGGTTAGGTGCCCACCTGTCCCTGCTGGAATACAACTTCCTCCAAGGCAGGGTCTTACTTCTCCTCCTCCTCCTCTTAGTACCCAGCACAAGCCAGCCATACTTGGCAGCTCACGTGTATGCAATTGGGTTTCTGTATTTTGAGTCACCAGACTCATCAAAGTGATTGATGCTTCCTGATTATGCCAATTTAGGTTCCAGACAAGGGTCACTAGTAGGGACTCACAGAAAAATTCTAAATACATTTTCTCCTATGTGTACTTTAAAATGCTGTTTTGTTTTTTCCCCCCTCTGCAGTCCTACTTCTATTTAAAAAAATGGTTCTTTTAAAAAGCCAAGCTGAATCATCTGCACTGCTCCCATACAGACTGGGTAAACTCCCCATAGATTTTCTTTTCAGAAAGAATATAATAAAAATATAATATAATAAAATTCTTATGATTCCCTCAGGATAGTTCTGACAGCTCAGTGGGAAACATTTCTAGTCACCATGAACTGCTTCAACTAATTCCTAGAAGTTCTTTCCAGCAGCCTGCAGTAAAAGCTAACACTTACCAACCATCTATTTGGTGAGTACCAAGTATTCAACCTGCACCATCTTACTTAATCCTTATAACTGCCCTGCTAGGGAAGTACTCATATTGTTCCTATTTTACAGATGAGAAAGTTGGGCATGGAGAAAATGTTACCCCTAGTGTAGAACCCAGAACCAAATAAACCACTACAATCTACTGCCTTCCTCAAAGGTCAAATTAAAGGCACACATGAGCAAATATATCCCTTACAACCAGCTATCTGAGAGGTCAGCCTCACCTACCCAGCTGTTTAAGTGATCTGCAATCCCAGGAAGAGAAGGGCACATGTGGCAGGCTGGCACTTCTGCACCAGACAGAGAAGCCCAGGCCCATGCAGGGAGTACCCACTTATCTCTGCTTTCTCAGCAGAGACCCCTACCATAGTACCAACACTCCTCCCTCAGAAGCCCACAGTGGTCTCTGAAGAGGGCTCCAGCCTGTCAGTCCTCTCCTCTTTCTTTTTTCCTGTAAAAGGATCCCAGGGACATCTATTTAAAATACGGATCAAATCATGTTACTCCTCCACTTAAAAGCTGTTCATGGACTCCCCAGTAACCTGGGCATAAAGTGGTATCCTCTAGTCAACCTATATTGCTTTACCTTGTACCATGCCAATTTCTACACTATATTGAACAATCAGAGGTTCTTGGAATAAACTACGAATCTCTCTTTCTTTCTCAGAACAACACCTTCCTCTTCATTCTCACCTGGCTAAGTTTTCCCCTCCTCTCCTCTGGTCTTGGCTCCACAGTCACTTCTGCCAGGCCCTCCCATGGTATTCGTCACCTCATGTCCCACACCCCAGGCTGAGCTAGCCTTTCTCTGCTGGGCTCCCACAGCACTCTGCTCCTGCTACTATTAGCTTTTTTAGATCACCTTTCAACTATCTTTTTACAGGTCAGTCTTTTTTATCTATACTGTGAGCTCCTTGAAATAGAAACAACTAAGGCCTTGAACTCTACTTAGTGTGGCAGACATGTTCTAGGTGTTTTACATGTGTTAATGTTTAACTCTTCCTAATAACTCTATACTATCACCCTTGTTTTACAGATGAGAATAATGAAGGCACAAAGAGGTTAAACAAAGTGCCCAAGATCAAAGAGCTAGAAAGCTACCAGAATTTGAACTCAGGAAGCTTGGTTCCAAAGCCAACTTCTTTGAGCCACATCCCCAGTCTGCTTTTCAATTTTATTTTGGTAGCAGGAATGGAACCCAGGGCACTTAGCCACTGAGTCACATACCTAGCCAATTTTATTTTTTATTTTGAGACAGGGTCTTGCTAATGTGCTGAGGCTGGCTTTGAATTTGCCATCCTCCTGCCTGAGTCCTCACAGCTGCTAGAATTACAGGCCAGCGCTGTAACACCTGCTCCAAAGCCCTCTCTCAACCACCGTATTATACAACACTTGCCTCTCCAGGCAAAAACCCTGTTGTTCTGTGAGGAATGAATGAATGGCCACTACCTTTAGACTGTCTAGATCTAATCCATTAAAAACAGGCAGAGGGAGGTCATGAAAGAGAGCTGAAGGAGCTCACAAGCACTGTTTACAAGTAGGGATTCTCTGGGCCCTACAATTACATATTCTGCTCTTCCTTATCTAATGCAAAACTACTCAGCCAAGTGGGAAAGGCGCCCAGCCCAGCATGACTACCCTCTTCCCCAATGGGTTCTCAAAACCAAGCAAAGCCAACCGGTTTCCTCCAGTGAGGAAACAGAGCAAAGTCTATTCTGCCACAGAAGGCGGCTGTCATCTCTTCCTTCCGCCAACAAAAGGGAAACAAACCTGGGGAGTGGGGTTGGGCAGAGAACGCCTTCAGAAAAATGAATGCCCCTATCTACTGGTTGGAAGGTGGGGCCAAGTGGCGTGGGAATGGGCGGGCCTGACCTGCACGGCAGGTGAAACACTGACCACAGCAAGCTCTCCCCTTGGGGAAGACCAGCCAAACGTGGACCTGGCAAGCAGGTACCTGTGAATAGCACCTGAACGCCGCCCAGGATCCGAAAATTACCCAGCAGCGATGATACCGGTGCCAAAGGGTGAGGGTTCCAGGAGGAAGCCCGGCTGGTCCTCCCGGGGGACTAGTCCTCTAACTTTCAAGTCACTCTTAGGATCAGGAGGGAAACGTGGAGAGGCCGAGGGCGTCTCTCTGGGAAAACCTGACTGGATTCAAACGCTCAACACTTCACTCAGTGGCTGAGTGACTCCGGGCAGGGCTGGCTGTGCCCACTTCCCAAGGTTGCGGCGGAGACTGAGGCTCCCGAAGGTCGCCGCCCCCGCCGCCCGGGAAGAGCAGACCCCCAGCGGAGGAGGAAGCATTCGGCTGTTGCCATTTCTGTCGCGCCCGGATGGTTTCAAGCTGTCACCCGGGTCCCACCGCCAAAGCCGCCGAGGCCCGCCGGGCCAACACGCATCCCCCGCCCGGCTCCCAGTTCTGGACCCCCGGCCTCACCTTCCCCGGGTAATCAGCGCTGCTCGCCCATAGTCCGCAGCCCGGAGCCGGGGCTGCTCGGCGCTCCGTCCCGGAGGGCCAGGGCCGGGCCGGGGGCGTGGGAGCCGCTCACCGCCGCCTCCCAGAACAGCCGCGCGAGCAGCCGCCGCAGCCGCCGCCTCCCTCCATGGCTGCGGCGCCGCCACCTGACAACGGAAGTGACGCACCGCCCCTCCCCGGCCCGCGCCGCAGCCCGCCCCACCCCCTTGCTGCGTCGTCGGCCCCGCGCCCTGGGCTTCGGCGCCATCTTGACGTTGGGCGGAAGCCTTCACGTAAGACTCCAGAATCGGACAGACGATTGGCTCAGGGTGGGGTCTGGGCCGAAGACTGTGAGACCATAGGAGGCTGAGACCCCAAGGGGCGGTATTTAACCACAATCTAAGAGTGCGGTGAGGCTGGGACCGAGGCACCGCCCCACCTAGACTCCACAGAACCTCGCAGGCCCTACACTAGTGCTGCTGGGGTTGAAGTCTCCGGCAGTTGGAAGATCGGTCGGTTGTTGTGTATTTATCAGAGAAAGGCGATCCTTCTTTGATTTTCATTTCTCGATTTCTGAAACTCTGCGGAAAGCGCTGCAGTTAGACTCAATGAAAGACAGGCATTCCTGTCGCAATGCTCACAATTCATTTGCCTCTCGGCCCTTAGAAACCTTGAGGATGGTCAGACCAGGAAGGTTTACAGTGAAGAGTTCCTATTAACGATTCCAGTCATTTAACCTCACTCCCTTCCGCTACAGTTTCAGCCCCTCCTGATATAGTTTCAATCCCTTTCTCCTCCTCCTCCTCCAGCAACCACGCCCTCCATGAATCAGCTTCTTGCACTAGCAGATGAGCCCTTTAAAGGGATTGCATCAGGCTGGTGACTCACTGGAGCCCTTTGAGAGCCTGGCTTCCCTCCCCTGGCATGCAGAAGCAGCTAGAAGGGCTCAGGGGCAGCAACAGCAGCAGCTATAGCCCCACTCCTTTGTCTCAGAGAAGTGAGCAGGGTGCTTGCTGCTTGTGATTGTTTAGCTGTCTTTCCATTTGTTCTCTGGGCCACCCTGAATCTACATGTAGGCACACGTGGCCAAGCCTGTGTGCACTGCTGGGTTTTCCTTGGGTGTGTGGCCAAGCACTTATGTGTATGTGCCTTTGTCATCACACAGGCAATGCCTGCCTGGAACATGAGGGCTGGTCTGAGTGAGGTCTGACTGCCTCTGATTGTGCCCTTTCTTTTGTTTCTCAATGTCTGGTGTCCACTGAGCTGCTGATCAGGATGAATAGCAATACTAATTAGAGCAGCTCCCATGTTGTGACCCAAACTATGTTAGAGACATCAGCATTAGGCATCTGTTTACAGATGAGGAAGCTAGAACTCAGAAAAGAGCAGTAACCTGTCCAAAGATGCACAGCTAAAAATCGCAGGGGTATGATTTGAATCAAGTCTGGTGGATCCCAATTAGGATCTGAATCCCTTCTTTGTCACTTACAAATTGGGTAACTAGATGCAAGTTCCCTTACCTTCCCACTGTCCAAATAGGGATAACACTTTACAGGATCACTGTGAGGACTGAGTGATTTATGGAAACAGTTTCTTATAGGACCCGGGGAGTGCTCACACTCATCTCAGTGGCAGAGCCTCCATGAGGTAGATGACCAAAAGATGGGTACAGAGAAATCAAACCCCAACCCACCACACTTCTTTCTCTGATAAAGGGAAAGCCTAGGGATTCCGGAAGCCTTGACTCTGACAAGAATGAGTTTTGGATTTTCCAGAACTCTAATTATTGGCTAGATGAATCACTTGGCACTGATACCACCATCCCCATCCCCAGGAGACTCTCAGCTGATTTAAAATATAGGATTTTTACAAAGAGGAGAAGGAGGAAGAGAAAGAGGGGAGGAGAGGAGGCAATGAATAGAAACTAAAGGTGCCAGCCAGAGGAAATGAAAAACTGTCATCAGGACACCAACATGAGGAGATTGCTGGGACACATACACAGTGATATGTTCCTGCTGGCTTTCCAACTCTGGCTCACTGGCTGCTGTAACAAAGTGACACCTGTCACAACAGCACAAGATGGTTGCTTAATAAGGTATAGGAAGATCTGCTTGTCACCAAAGGAGGGAGGAGACACTTGACCCCAGGGGCTTTTGAACCCCAGTCATCCTTCCTGCAAATTTTTGGCCTTGGTGTGGGGCCAAGTTCTAAGGCCTGGTATGGCTCTAACACTGTGGCTGGGTACAACCACTGAAGTGGGGAGAAGAAGCATCTCCTACATCATCTTCAGTGTGATGTCAAGAATGCTAGGAAGAAGGCTGGGGCTGTAGCACAGTGATAGGGCGCTTGCCTACCACATGTGAGGCACTGGGTTCGATCCTTAGCACCACATAAAAATAAACAAATAAAATAAACACATGCTATCCATCTACAACTACAAATTTTTTTTTTAAATGCTGGGAAGGACTGGGGATGTGGCTCAGTAGCAGAGTGCTTGCCTGGCATATAAGAGGGCCTGAGTTCAATCTTTAGCATCACAAAAAAAAAAAAAGCTGGGAAATTGAATAGTATGTATAGTATTGTAGTTAAGATCATGGCATTTGAAGGTAGCAGACTTAAGTTCAAATCCCCACTCTGCTGCTCATCTTGATTAGACCATTTAATCTCTCTGAGTCTGTTTGCATATATGTAAAATGGGCCTGTTAACCTATGAGGTGCTCTATCCCTGAATTATATCCCCAGCCCTCTCTGGGTCTTTCTGGAACAATGATGAGAACTCAAAGAACCCCTGCTGGTGGGGATGCCAGACTCTGGAACTCACTGGACCAATTTAGGTCCTACCCAGCTCGGCCATGTTGAGAGCTGGACAAGCTACATCTCTTCTATGTCCCTGGGAAATGTGAACTGTAAGCTGCATGCCCACCTAGCTACATCAGAGACCTTGTAGTCACCTCCCCACAAATAAGAGACCCCTGAACTCTTCTCTTCTTTCCAGGAATGGGAGGAGAGGGAAGGCATTCTGTGCCACTTGAGCACTTAGAAGTCCTGGGGGTTCTGACATCAACCAGGCCCCCACAGTGGCTGAAGGCGCAGGAAGGTTGGATGTGTGTGTGCTTGAGTGAAGGCCATGTGTGCTTGAGCAAAGGCCACACCATGCAGACTCCATGAGACAATAACATCTTGAAGTACATTTTCCATGATATTCCTGGGCCCTTCCTTTACACAGGTTACTCTGCATTTGTTACTTCAGGAAATGAAAGATAGGACAGAATGCAGAATCCATTTTTAGCTACTGAATTCCAAAAGCCAGACTTCAGGGAAGAATGAAAAGAATTTCTGTGCAGAAACATATTTAGAAAACTGTGTGACAAGGATCTAGGAGTCTGGGGTGGGAAATGGGTCCCTGCCCGCAGAGAGGGTGTCAGCTAGGTCTCAGGGACTGAAGGAAAGCAAGAGCCAAGCTCATTTTCCAGGGTGGGACTCCAGAGAGGTAACAAAACCCTCCAGAGAAATGCGACTCTGGAGCTATGTGCTGCATTTGATCAAATTGGGCCCACCTAACTTAAGACCCAAGGATTCACTCTGCCTCACATGATCTGGGGAAAAGCAAGAAAGAAAAAAAAAAATCTGTCACCTTGTTACCGCTGTTGACAGGTGACGAGTTCTTGCTTCCCCAATGTTGAAGAATAACACCAAAGAAGCACGCCGAGGCAAGGTCAGAGTAGAAATTAGAAGTTTATTAAAGGACAGCAGAAAAGACTTCTCCCGGAGGAAGAAGGGGACCCAAGAGGTGGAATCCGTGGAAGGGATGTTGTCTCCCCTTTTTATAGTTCTTTCAGTGATGGAATGTAGGTGGGAAGGCCCGAGGGGTGGGACACAGGTGGGCCAAAGAAGTAATCTGGTCAGGAAGGACTTCTGAGTCAGCACCTTTTTGCTGGGGGCTGTTCATTAACATTTCTTTGAGGTGGACTTTGGCCTAGGGCCTTTTCGGGACTTCATTAACATTCCATGAGTTGTCCTGCGTTTCCGGAATCATTGCCAGCATGGCCTCCATTTTAGATTTCACTCGGCATTAGACCCGATTTATCTAACTACACTGACTACCTAACTTTATTTTTTTTTAATTTTTTATTGTTGGTTGTTTAAAATATTACAAATTTCTTGACATATCATATTCCACACTTTGATTCAAGTGGGTTATGAACTCCCACCTTCACCCCATACACAGATTGCAGAATCACATCAGTTACACATCCATTGATTTACATATTGCCATACTAGTGTCTGTTGTGCTCCGCTGCCTTTCCCATCCTCCACCCTCCCCCCTCCCCTCCCCACTACCTAACTTTAAATCTGGCTTCAACTTGACAGGGGTATGGGTGATATGCAGAATGACTCAGCAGTAACCTCTGAGGGCTGATGACAAAAGACTAAAGAAAAGGAGGACTAGATGACCATCACTTCAGACTACCCTCAAGGCTTTGGCACCCCGAAAGGAAGGGCCCTTCAATTCCAACATAATTCAGAGGAAAATGCAGGGAACTTGGAATTGACTGCAGTTAAGTTTCTGCCACTCTGGCTGAGTGGGGGTGAAATAGGAACTCAGAGTGAGTTAAAGAAAATCCAAGTTCTGGTTCCTGCATGTCAGAAACTGGAACCAGGGGCTGGGGGCACAGCTGGTGGTCCTGGTTTCAATCCCCAGAAACTCCTCCTGAAAAAAAAAAAAGAAAAAAGAAAGAAATTATAACCAGCAATACTCCTGGCTCACAGGCCTTGTTTCATTTGTCCCACTCACCCCTCCCATTTCTCTACCTTCCCAGCCTGTCCATCAGTTGTCACATGGTATTATCTACCCAGACCCCAGCTTCCCACTGAAGGACTTTTGTACTGGCAGTTTCCTTTGCTTTCCTTTTTTCTTTATTATTGAGCACTAAGGTCTGAACCCAGGAGTGCTTTACCATTGAGCTACATCCCCAGGCCTTTTTTTTTTTTTTTTTTTTTTTTTGAGATAGGGTCTTACTAAGTCACTGAGGTCTTGCTAAATTGCTGAGGCTGTCCTCGAACTTGTGATCCTCCTGCCTCAGCATCCTGGGTCACTGGGATTACAGGGGTGTACTACCACTCCCAGCTCTTTAAAAAGCAGTCTCCTTCTCAGTTTAAATTTCACTTCCTCAGATTACACTTTCAAAAATAAAACCACCTCTACTTATCTTTCACAAAAGGCCCTGTTTATTTCCTTCCCAGAATCTGTACACATTTTTACTTTGTTTGTATATCATGTGTCTGCCCACTTGAATGTCAGCCACCTGAGGACAAGACCCTTGTTCCTTCTGATGTTCCCTCAGCTGTCACCACTGTGCCTGGGGCATATGCTCTATGGAATGGCTGACTGGTGGCAGTCAGGGACTTCCTGGCCTTCCATAGGCGGGTGGGCACTGAGTTTCCTCAGTTCTACTTGGGACCCTGGCAGTCTTTCCCATCGATCCAGGACCTGTCATAAAGACCCATACCTTTGGGGCCTTCAGACTCAGCTGTGCTCTTACCTGAGGCTTTGCAAATGTGTTTCTGCGGGGCTTGTGTGCTCCTTCCCATTTATATTCCATGGTCTTGTCCAGGAAGGACATGAGTCCTATGGCTTCCCTGGCTAGACCTGCTGAGGCATAGACACCCCCAGCATACTATTAAAGTCTCAGAGCTAGACCTTGCCTCCATTTCTAGGCCAAACTCTCAGGAAGAGCCCTTTTCAAGTTTGGAAACATTTGTAGACACATGGGCAAGTTCTGTGGAGGCTGCTGTGGGGGCTCCCTGCCTGTTCATCGTGTCTCCCCACTTGTTGAGGATCTATGGACATTTCCACACTGAGGACCTCCCTGCTGGAACTACCCCATCATTTCTTTTGCCAGCAGTCACCATGTGGTGTCAGTCTCCTTAACTCTGGCTGTCACAGGGGACTGGAAACTCAGAAAGGTGGACTTCTCCCTACTGGGACCCTGTGTTCTCTCCTGAAATCCAAGGGCATAGTTTAAGAGGCTTCTAGGACCTTGAGACACTGAAATAAACACACTATATAGAAGGATTGCCATGGGTGTTAATAATGCAAATTCTGGTTCAAGTCTGGGGTCAGGGGAGCCAGGAAAATGCATTTCCTACACACATCCCAGCTATTTCTGATGAGGGGGTCCACGATAACACTTAGACAAAGACTGAGCTAGAACATGAATGCAGTTGACTTTGGGCTACTAGTGTCCAACAGCATTCCTCTAAAATCTCAAATAATGTGAGTGCCTTGAGGTCAGTTGCCCTGCCTTACCAGAGCTAGGGCACAGCAATTCTCAAGCAGGATTTCATCTTGTTTTTTGCTGACCACATTCCCACGAGATCATAAGTTCTTCTCCAGACAGGTCCAGGATCTTATTTGGCAACATGTACTGAGGAGGCGACTTTGGCACATGGCAGCCATGCTGTGACTATCTGATGAACACAAACTCTCTGGTTCCAAGGGACAGAGCCACTTTCACTGAAATGCTTGTCTGCCTGTGGCAGGTTTGGAATGAGCACAGGAGACTTGGGTTTTAATCCTAAGGACTGGATGATTCAGAATCAGGATTGATTTGCTGTTGGTTGAATTTCCACACCCAAGGTTCAGGCCCAGAATACTCCAACCTCTCTACTTCAGGAAAGAGCAATGATATTAATAGCCTTTTCAACAGTATCTGAATAGAAATGCCACTTTCACTTGACCACACTGACGTACTCTCCTCCAAGTTCTCAATCTTTCCCTTGTATTAGAATCACCTGGGAAACATAAAAAGTCCTACTGCTTGGGCCATACCAATTAAATCTTAATCTCTAAGTGTGGGAGGGGTGATTCCAATGTGCAGCCAAGTTTGAGATACTGCGCCCTATTACACAGGGCCACAGGAAGCCTAGCACACAGTGGGGAAAGCATGAGACATGGACTTCTTTGTATCTAAGTTTGGTTTTATAAGAAAATAAACACAATTGAGAGAGAAATGGGGAATTGGAGACCAAGCACATTTAATAATCCTCACAGGGAGAGGGTTGAACTATTTGACAGATTCCCTAAAATAGTAAACCAGACACTTGTATGCAAAAAAAGAGGGGTTGTCATTTACCCCAAGGCCACAGGCAGACAGATAGGATTCTGGGTCCCAAGAAGAGTCTGAGGAGTGGAACCCTGTGAAAGGCAGTGGTGACAGGTGGTGTAGGTCAGACACCAGGTTCCAGGAAGGGAGGGGTGACAGGGAGTTGGTTCATAACACTGGAAGCACCTGAGTTGGTGTCAGAGCTTGCTAAGGGCAGCCTCACTTATATTTTTTGGAAGGAAACTCCTGCCGGCCTTGGCCCTTGCTGCCAAAGTTGCGCACACGGTGGATGATCTGCAGCTGCTCCTCGATTGTAGCAGTGATGTTCACGTTATCCGGGATGTGGACGTATCGGACATTACGGCCTGTCACAAAGAGGTCATCCAGCTCAACCTGATGCCCCCATCGGTCCGTGTAGGTGACCTTGGCCAGGCGAATGTTCATGAAAGCATCCACGTTGTCAATTCGTCCACGGGCCACACTCTCATCCCGCAGGTCCACAGTGGTTACCTGGCCCTGGAGACCCTGTAACAGGATGATCAGGCTGTTCTCGGAGATGGTCCGCTCCTTCACTGAGTGGCTCACTGCCATTCTGCCACACCGGCTGGTTGCTTGCTGTGGGCAGGAGCACATAGATGGGAGGTGCATCAGCGGGTATATTGCCAACACATCTCCACCAGATCCTCAAACAAAATTTCCAGCACAGACCTCCCCAAGCCTGACCCCTCCCCAGTTTTTGCGTCTATAGACAAAAGCTGTTTCACTGTCCATGTCTCATAGAATCTTCGATCACCTTGCAAACCAAGGGTTAGTTATACTTATTTTATAAATGGGGAAAATATGACTAGGAGTAATTCTTATAACTTGCCCAAGCCTATACAGCTGCTGAATGGAGATGCTGGACTCAAATCCATAGCTGCCTGATCTCCAAGCTATATACAAGTGGTTCTGAGTGCTCACTGTACCATTAGAATCATCTGGTGAGGTTTTTTTTTTTTTTTTTTTTTTTTAATGTTTTCAATATATATATTTTTAATTGTAGATGGATATAATACCCTCATTCTGTTTGTTTATTTTTATGTGGTGCTGAGGATGGAACTCAGTGCCTCACACGTGCAAGGCAAGCGCTATACTGCTGAGCCATAGTCCCAGCCCCACATTTGGTAAGTTTTTAACCTGGTCTCCACATCACAGAGATCCTGATTCATTTGGTTAGTGGGTTAGGACCCCAGCATCCTACTTTTTAAAAATTCCTTGGTAATTTTAATGTGCAGACAAGCCTACTCCAAAGTATAGTTTAAGATGGCTGTAGCAGTGCACACCTATATTCCCAGTTACTCAGGAGTCTGAGACTAGGGAACAGAGTTCAAGCTCAGGTGCGGAGGTGCACCTCTAGTCCCGGTGATTTGGAAGGCTGAGGCAGGAAGATCACAAGTCTGAGGCCAGCCTCAGCAACTTTGTGAAACCCAGTCTCAAAAAAAAAAAAAAAAAGAAGAAGAAGAAGAAGAAGAGCTGGGGATGTAGTCAGTGATAGAGCATCCCTAGGTTCAGTCCCCAATACCACCATCAATGAAACAAAGAAAGAAAAAAAGATTTTGATGGGCCAGGGTTGTTGCTCAGTGGTAGAGTGCTTGCCTAGCATGTGTGAGGCACTGGGATCCATCCCTGGCACCACATAAAAATAAACAAATAAAATAAAGATATCGTGTCCATCTACAATTAAGAAAATATTAAAAAAAAAAAAAAAAAAAGATTTTGAGCTGGGCATGGTGGCCCACACCTGTAATCTCAGGGGCTTGAAAGATTGAGGCAGGAGGATCACAAGTTCAAAGCCAGCTGCAGCAATTTAACAAGGCCCTTAACAACTTAATGAGACCCTGTCTCAAAATAAAAATTAGAAAAAAAAAAAAAAAAGTACACAGGTTTTGAAAGTAGAGAAACTGAAACCTAGGTTGAATTCCCACTCTACTCCCTACTCTGTAAATCTAGGACAGTTACTTAATGTCCCTGAACCTGTTTATACATTTATTAAACCATAGGCTACGTAAGGCTACCAGACTTTCACTACATTGAAGATACTTTCTTTTGCTTTCAACATGCCCTGATACTGAATGAGCTCACGATGCTTTATCTAGCTCTCATTTTCAGACCCCTAAGTCCAAGGTGGGGGAACCTTTACGATCTCACTCAGAATCCCGACCAAGGCCATGCAGAGTAGCATTAGAAGCGTCAAGGCAGGTTACTCCACTGATGAGGGGGCTGAGGGTTGGTCCCGGGAAGGGTCCAAAGACCCTTCAGCCTGAGACTGGGATCAAGCAAGGGTTGGGGGCCGCCGCTGTGACTGCAAAGAGCAATCACTGGAACCTGGGCCCAGGCTCTAGGACAGGCTCTGACACTTCCCAGGAGGGAGAAACTGCGCCAGCCACTTGGCGTCTTGAAGCCTGTCAGCCCCTTGGTAAACGGGGACGCCGAGGCCGCTCTCCACACACAGCAGTGGTAGCAGAGCAGGGAGAGCGGCTACACTGCTTGTCGGGGAGAAGACGCTCCCCGGGGTCCCCCGCGCTCCGCCCTCGTGCTCCCCGCACTCCGCCGACTCGAACCCACCGCGCGCGATTCCTTCCGCTTTCCCAGTCGCGGCCAAGGCCGGTCGGCGCCTAGCTGCGTTGCCTCCTGCCTTCGCAGCGCTGAGAAGCCATGGCAACCGCGGGTCGCGTGGCCACAGCCAGGCCTCAGACTACAACTCCCAAGAGGCCGCGCGGCGTCGGGCTTCCAGACTCTTCTGCGCAGCCGTGCGGCCGTCGTTCCGCGCACACTCACGGACCGATTCTCAAGGTCCCGCACCTTCCCGGCTCCCCGTGTGCAGCGGGGAGCAAGATCTGCCGGCTCCCCGAGCTGACGGTGCTGCGCGAGAGAGCCCATGTGAAAACAAACTGGGAAAATAGGATAAACGTCCTTAAACCGATTAAAATAGAGTGATGTGATCGGTTCTGGGTGGACGATCAGGGATGCACTGAGGTGACATTTGAGCTGAGAAGAGTGAATTGAAGCCAACCTTGCAAAAACTAGGAGAGGAACACTGCAATTAGAGGGAAGAGTTTATGCGAAGATGCTGGTGAAAATGACCCTGACAATGTGAGGGAAACAGAAAGGCCAGTGATGCTGGGGAGAGTGGCGGATCAAGAGGTCAGAGAGAGAGAGTAGGAGCCACAGCCTTTAGGGCTTTATAAGCCAAGGTCAGGAGATGGCATTTCATGGTTAGGAGCAGCAGGCTTCGTTACAGTGCCTCTGTTCTATCTGCGCCTTGCTGATTGTATGACGTCAGTATGTATGACTTCGGTTTCCTCATCTAGTATTAGAAGTGTGTTGATAAGCTATCAAAGAGCATAAGGTGATTTTATTTCCTTTTTGAAAAGGTCCCTGTTTGTAGCCTTGAAAGTTGCTTCTCTCAGCCTCAGTTTTCACATTAGGAAAATGAAAGCTAATGTCTATTTCAGAGAATTGTGAAGATTTGCAAGATTTGAGTGTCCCTCTTTTAGTTGTAAGAGCAACCAGGCACTTAGGCGGAGCTTCAGAATTTAGTCTTTTATTTCTTCACTCTTGCCTTCTTCATTGATTTCCATTTCCCCTAGGAGCCTGCCCTTTTCCCGCCCTGTGACCACAGTTGGTCTCTTGTCCTAAAAAATAAAACTTTCCCCTCCATGCAAGTTACTGGTCTCCAATCTTCCATAGTCAAACACTCAAGAGAGCCCTCTCTACCAGCACTTCCCCAAGTGTGATCCCCTTCCAGCTAACACCTGTGTGAGATAGGATTTCCTTTATACATTTCAACCAAAATAACTTATCATGAAGGACTGAATTCAGAAGCAGGTAGGAAAATGCATCTGCCTTGTTATGACAGATATTAATGACACTTGCAAAAATACAGAAGTCACTCATCTCAACAATTTTTTTTCTTTTGGAAAATAGTTATTTTTTTAAAAAACTCATGCTAATGATTTTATTATTTTAAATTGATACTTTAACTTCTAAGAAAAATATTAATAACCTATATAAACAAAAACTTTTAGGTATTTATAGTGATTATGAAGGATTCTGAGACGGAAAAATTTGCAAACTGCTGCTCTGTACAGGGCTTCCACTTTCTTACACCAATTACTCAACTCACTATAATCCACCTTGTATTTCCAACACTCTACTAACTTCTTTGGCAAAGATTATTTATGAAATTCTTATTCATTAAACCTATCACTCTCCCCCCTGCCCTTTTTATCTTACAGTACTGAGACTGGGGAATTGAATCCAGGGCCTCACACATTCTGGCAAGTGCTCTATCACTGAGCTACATTCCCAGCCTGTTTTATTTTGAGACAGGGTCTTGATGAATTGCTCATGCTGGCCTTGAACTTGGGATTCTCCTGCCTCTGCCTTGTGAGTTGCTGGAATTACAGGCATGCACCACTGTGCCTGACTTACAATAGATGATTTAAAGGCCAGATACTGTTTTGATCCTTATTAGTTATGATGTGGGCTTATGGCTAAACTGGGGCAATATCAAATTTTAAATCTGGAACAAGTGACACAAGTCAGCAGGATCTGTTTCTGCTCTGTCCTGGTGATTATGTCATCGAGTGCCTCCTTCCTGGTGCTGGTACTGAAGTCCTTCCCTTGCTGCCTACCCTTCTTGGTTCCTTCCTGGCCATTTTCTGATGGATCTCTAGTCTTCCTGACAATTCTTTGAGTTGCCTGATGCCCTGTCAGTAAATTTCTTTTCTATTTAAATAGATAGAATTGGGCTGGGGATGTGGCTCAAGCAGTAGCACGCTCGCCTGGCATGCGTGCGGCCCGGGTTCGATCCTCAGCACCACATTCAAACAAAGATGTTGTGTCCGCCAAAAACTAAAAAATAAATTAAAAAAAATAAAATAAAATAAATAGATAGAATTGGTTTTATTTTTTTGTAACTGAAAATCTTGACTAGGTTGGGCCACTTGAATGAGTTCATGTCAGGAATCTTAGATTTCTATGTTCCTTTAGATGAGTTGTATGTAGTTCTGTTTCTAATTGCAGAGGGTCACAGATTCCTGAGAATTAGGGTGGTCTCCCCCGGTCACCTGCTCTAATTGACACACAGGGCCCAACTTCCCTCTGCAATGTCTTATGGATGCCCCGGACCTTTGCCTGATCCACTCCAATGACCTGCCACTTGCTCCTTTGCCAGTTGAGGTTTTTGATATTTAATTTGAAAAGTTTCTTCTGTAATCCCAGCTATTCAGGAGACTGAGACAGGAGGATGGCAAGTTTGGGGCTGGTCTGTAGGTATATGCCACTGCATCAGGATTTTTTTATGCTTTTTGAAAACAAAGCAAACTAAATAAACATGACTTTAGCTTAGACACTGAAGAGCCAGGGGTTGTGGAGCATCAGAGAAGCAGGCATGCAGCACGGGTGAGAGCAGAGGCAACCATCAAAGGTAAAGGCAGCTGTGAGAGAAAGTGATGTAAGGGCCGGCAAGGTGGCGACTGCGTGTACTCCCAGCAACTTGGGAGGCTGAGACAGCCTTTGAGGCCAGCCTTAGCAACTTAGTGAGGCCCTAAGCAACTCAGTGAGTCCCTGTCTCAAACAGTAAAAAGGGCTGGGATGTGGTTCAGTGGTTTAGCACCCCTGGGTTCAATCTCTAGTACAAAAAGAAATTAAAAAAAAAAAAAGGAAAAGTGATACAAAACTATTTCACAGAAGATTGGAAACTAAGCATTGTAGGGGTCATAAACTCTAGCATTAGCAAAAGGATGAGAATAAAGAACAGAGTGAGAAATGGAGTGAGAGCCAGAGCTAAGGGTAAGGAATGGAAAAGGCCAGATGTGAAATAAGGATCTTTTGAATATGGATGTGGATATTTTGACACTTTTTAATTTTCATGTACTTTTTTGGTGCTGGGGATTGGGCTGGGGGCCTCATGCCTGCTAAGCACATGTTCTACCACTGAGCCCCACCCCAAGCCTTCATTCTGACACTTTCTCAAATGGTGGCTCACACTCTTTAACACATAAGACAGCCCTCAATCAGAAGGCACTGAGGGAGAGAGAGGAGGTGTGTCCAGAAAGCAATATGCTTAGGACCACAGAGCCAAAGGGTGAGAGAGTTTTAGGAAGAAAAGTATATAGCAAGGTGAAGAGCATTCAGAAAGCCGGGTGGGATGGGGATCGGGTCTGTGCAGACAGAGTGGGAGGAATCCAGGAGGGAGTGCAGGTGCGGCAGCAGGCATGTGAGTGCTGGAGAGGAACAAGTGAGCAGCCAGATAGGCGAGGATGGAGAGAAGCCTCCATGGAGAAGCAGAGGCCAAGGGTGTGGTGGGAGCAGTTTGGACAGGAGGAGGAGATGAGAGCATATAAAACAGGTATTATCTCCTTATCCATTGAAGCTTTAGCTGAGGAGTGTTCAGGAATCCAGAAAACCTGTGTCTAATATCCTTAACCCATAGTATGGCTTCCCCCAGAAAACCTGCTGGCCTTGACATTTTGGGGGGTAGGGGGAAGTCAGGGAGGCTTGCAGGGGTAAAGGGCAGAATGATCTGCACATGTGAGTTCTGGGTTCTGGCCCCTGCTCTGCTGGGACTGTTAGTGGCTGGGCAATGCAATCTGGAATCACATCTGTCAGGAAATGTTATTTTTTCATCAGAGGTACCGCTGGCCGGAAACCAGAAGAATCCAGGGTGTATGGGAGTATGGAGGTGGCAACGGTGGGGAGTGTTAAGGTAGCTAAAGAATCCAAACTAATTTCCATGGCCGTTGGACTGTATCCTGCCTTCTCACTTGAAAAGCAGAGTCAGGATCTGAGAATTTCCTCCATGTCCAATCTCAAGCTATGCGGGGAAAGCCTGCTGTGGAGGGGTTTTCCTATTCTAGTCCCTTCCTGTAACTCCCCCTTGTTGGCTATCCAGGAAAGTAGCTTCTGAGAAGGAGTTTGCCAGGACAAATTTAAAGGGAGGAAGGGGCAGGTCAAGTTTGTATTAGTTTTCAGATTTTAAGTTTTTAAGATTAGGTGTTATGCTAAGTATATATATTTTTTTTTCTAAAATTTGCATTTGTCTTTCTATGGCTTCTTGTGGCTTGAACAGTGTGACTTTATAGGAGACATAAACCAGAGTGATGAAGCAGATGGCCATAGAGCAGAGGCATGTGACTGAGGGCATTTGATCTATGTAGAGCTGGCATCTCTGGGATCTGGCTGTCATGCTAAAATCTGTTTCTGTCTTATCAGGATAAATATCTAAGGAAAAAAGTGAATTTTACCTTTAAAAGTTTTTTTTTTTTTCCCCCAGTACTGGGGATTGAGCCCAGGGGTGTTTCACTACTGAGCTACAGCCTTTTTTACTTTTTGAGACAGGTTCTTGCTAGGTTTCCCAACCTGGCTTGGAAATTGTGATCCTCTGGCTCAGCCTTGACAGTCACTGGGCTATAGGTGTGGGCCACTATCCTTGGCTAAAAGTGGTTGGCTGAGTGTGGACTCAATTTGACATCCTACCTCCTTCACTCTGTTTTTATTACTACTTTCTTTGGGAGCCATTCAAGTCCTTGGGCTTTTCTACAACTTTGCCTCACATAACCTCCAGGGCCTTCTAACCCTCTAAGGACAAGAGTGGAACAGTTTGTAACTTAGTTGGGAAGAGGTTACAGTCGCAGAAGAGCTGAAAGGAAGTTTGAACTCCCAGGTCCCCCGC